TTACTAAAGATGATGGTAGACCTTTAACAAAGGTTTGATGAAGTAAAAATCATCAAGGGAATATAAAGTTTTCATCGAACTGTACCTATCAGTTGTATATACTGTACATTAATCACAGTACTTCCTACATCTAATTCATTGAATGGGCAGGTATTTAATATTCATCCAAAAGCTGATCAAGTAAAAGACGTTTCCTTGAAAGAAAAAAGTTGTAGTATTGGACAATGTGTATCTTAAGTCATATGATGAAAAACTTTCCTTTAGGTGTTATCTTGGATATTTCAGAGGAACACTTATATTACAAAATACAATTTTGAATATGTACCTAAATATAGACAATGTAAAGAAATACTGTTTTCCACACACGATGATATTTGCTGGGTAAGAATTAAAGATACAGTGAAAGCTTTAACAAATTCATCAGTAGAATCAGGATCTTGTGCGTTTTATAAATTTACATTCTTACGCTAATGTAGCAATATTTCAAAATTCGTAATACTGTACCAGCTTCTGTGAACATATAACATTTTTTGTTTTATTTTCAACCTATAATTTAATAAGATATGTGTTGAAAAATACCAAAGTGCAGTACCGTATGAGCTCAGTTATCCGAAGCCCACTAAAGTGAATATTTGGGTTATCTAGCCAAAATCGGGTTCAGATAATTTTCTGCAAAACTTCGCCATATCTGAATAGAATTTTGGATAACCGGAGATTGGCCAAATAATGCAGACTGGCACAGAGCTTAATTTGGATAAAGTTCTGGCAAAACTTCGCCAGATCTGAACCGAAATCTTAATAACCAGAGACTAGGTTACAAAGATTTTCAAGAACACCACATTTCAAGATCTACAGTATCACACATGAAGACAAACAAGCTGTAGTTTCTCTTTTAAATTATATTTTTTATGTGTGTGTGTGGAAATAAGAATTATGATGGTTGTAGTACAAAAAATTGTATATATAGTAATTTATTGACTTCCTCTGTAAGAATTCTGCTTATCCAGCAGGGATACTTCAAATTTTAAAGTAATACAAAAATTTAGGATTTCTGAAGCCTGGGAGTTCCTGCCACCCCCTTCCCCAAAAAAATTTTGTCAAAAAACTTCATGAATTTCAAATTTAGCAAAAAATTGTACTTTGACTATCAAAAAGTACTATTATTTAGCTATACAGTAACATGCATTTTTTCTATAACTTAAAACTAACAATTATGAATGTTCTTTTAACAAATAAGTGGCAGGGGGGGGCCAACCATACATTTGACTTTCCATTTCTCGGGAACTAATTTATCAATACAGTACTATACAGTATTGCTAAAAATTTACCCGAGTTAATCATTCATATATATCTTCAATTTCAAGTTTCAGGGGAAAATCCAAAATGGTGGTGGATTTTTCTTCTTCTTCTTGGTCTGTCTTGGAATGCAACAATATTAGTTTTTGTACAATGAGTATAACGAGCTTTGCCTAATTTTTTTTATAAAAAGGTATTACAGTATAATAAATGTCTCCCCCATTTTTCAAAGTTCTGAGTACTGTATACCAAAGTGTACAATGGAAATTATTTCCTGCAGTACAATTCAGATTCTCAACTAAGCTCAATAAAACATCTAAATTATTTGGATGATTTAAAATTTTAAAATCTATATTCTCTAGAATTTTTATGAGAGTAGACAACATAGAGGACACAGCAAACCAATCTGATGTAAATCAGGTCTTTCGATGGGCTACAGAAAATAGTGTTACAAATGCCCCTATTTACGAATTTTTTGAGCTCAATTTCTTCGTAAAATTCTATTCGGTTTACGAGCTTTGCCTCAAGTTGCGAATTTGTTGATAAACATATGGGTCAACCAAGCGCGTGGTTCCTGGAACGGGCGAGAGCGCCTCAGTTTAACAATGCGTCCCGTGTAGTGACGATCGCGCTTGAATTCTTTGTAAAGAATTTCATTGTATTTCAGCTTTTTTGATTTCTAAACATAAAGGTACAGTAATTATTATACCATGCCATGGATCCCAAGAAAGTCAGTGGTAAGGTTCAACCTATGAAAACACACGTGAGGAAGGCCATAGAGGAAAAACAAGTCTCTATGGAGAGGTTTTTAGCGAGACAAACAAGCAGTGAGCCACAACCAGGTCATAGTGGTATGCAGGCAAAACGTAGGAGAGAGAGAGTACCCCAGAAAAGTCATCACTGCCTGATGTTATAATGGAAGGGGACTCAATTTCCAAACACTCGCACCTCTCCTCCCTCCCTCCTCCTCGCTGTCTTCCATACGCCAACAAGTCATCAATAAAGGTAAGCTATAACTTGTACATTCTATATTACAAAATATTTGTGATTATGTATGAAATGTGTTTTGAAGTTAATATTTTTTGGAGTGTGGAATGGATTAATTCAATTTACATTATTTCTTATGGGAAAATTCGTTTCGGGTTACGAGCCATCTCTGGGAATTGATTAAATTCATAAATGAAGGTACCACTGTAATATAATATTTAATGAAGACACATACCAGAGCCTGCGCTATGGAAAAAATTAAAATATAAAAACGGAAACCACATGCAAAATAGTCATAACATAGAACGAAAAAGCAATGTAAAGGATTTGGGTGTACCCATATCGGGAGACCTTATCATTAAAGAACACAATAAAGTAGCCGTCATAACTAAGAAAAATGACAGGTTGGATAACAAAAACCTTTCAAACTAGAGATGCTATACTGTACTAATTATGATACTTTTTAGACGCTAGTACTCTCTAGAGTGGAATACTGCTGCACAATGACAGCCCCTTTCAAAGCTGGAGAAATTGCTGACCTGGAGTGCCAAGATCCTTTACTGCTTGAATCCACTCAGTAAAACAACTAAACTACTGGGACCGACTAAAATGCCTAAATCTGTATTCTCTTGAGTGCAGGTGGGAGATATATAATAATTTACACGTGGAAAATACTAGAGGGGCTGGTCCCAAACCTTCACACAGAAATAACATTACATGAGCCCAGAAAGCATGGCAGGATGTGCAAAATACCCCTGTTGAAAAAGCAGAGGTGCAATAGGTACTCGGAGAGAACTCTATGAACATGAGGGGTTTGAAACTACAACACACTTCCACTACACATAAGGGGCATAACTGGCTGACCCCTTGCAGTGTTCAAGAGAGAACTTGATAAACACCTCCAAAGGATACATGATCAACCAGGCTGTGAGCAGCCATGTCCAACAGCCTGGTTGACCAGTCCAGCAACAAGGAGGCCTGGTCGAGGACTGGGCTGCGGGGACCCTAAGGCCTGAAATCATCGCAAGGTAAGGAGCTCAGGCAAATGAGATACATAATAATTTAGACTTGGAAAATATCTGCAGGACTGGATCCAAATCTGCACACTCAAGTAACTCCACACGAGACCAGTTGATATCTGCTTGTAATTTTTCCATGTCTTCAGCAGAGGTAATTATCATGCTGATTTTTGTGTCATCTGCAAAAGATGACTCAAAGCTGTGACTTGTATTTTTGTCTATATCTGATATGAAAATAAGGAACAGCAGTGGTGCAAGGACTGCACCTTGAGATACAGAGCTTTTTTTTTTTTTTTTTTTGAGATATATACAAGAGTTGTTACATCTCAAAAAAAAAAAAAATGAAGGTACCACTTTTAACTGCGCTTGGACTCGATTTTATTTGATTGAATGTTACTCTGTGTTCTGTTCTACAGAAAATTGAGTATCCAGCGTCCTACTTTACCAGTTATTCCCATTAACCTCATTTTGTGTGCTATCACTCCATGGTCACATTTGTCAAATGCCTTTGCAAAGTCTGTGTATACAGCATCTGCATTCTGTTTTTCTTCTAATGCCTCAGTGATTTTGTCGTAATGGTCAAGTAGCTGTGAGAGGCATGATCTTCCCGCTCTAAATCCATGTTGGCCTGGATTGTGGAGGTCATTGGTTTCCATGAAACTATTGACCTGATTACTCTCTCCAATACTTTTATTATGTGGGATGTTAGTGCAACTGGTCTATAATTCATAGACCATAGTGATATTGATCTTTTAAACCACAACATGGTAACCACATGGTAAGGATGAGGTCACCAGCATCTAAGGACATTATCATCATTCATATCAAATATAAATATAAATAAAACCTTTATTGAAATGCCCAATATTAATTGCAAGAGTAGACATTTATCTATTAAAAGACAAAACAAATATGTTTGTAGTCTACTGAGATATTAACCAAAGTATATAGGTGGTTAAAGGTTGTACCTGGTTTTCTGACAGACAGTAATCTCACTGTACAACACAATTACTGCCTATTAGTAGCTTAACCTGTACATGTAAACAGTTTTTTGACAATTTTACTGTAATTATCCTACTTAAAATCATCTGTACTGTACTTGTAAAGCTCTTAAGTACCTGTTAAACACTTTTTATCAATTTTACTCTTATTTCTCTAAAACTTTCTGTTAGTTTAAGGATTTGCTCTAAGGTTAGTTTAAGAACTTGCCCGAAGTGCTATGCGTGCTAGTGGCTTTACAAGATTATAATTTCAACTTAAACTCAATGTTCTCTCTTAACCCCCAATGTACCTTCTTGTATATATATATATATATCGTACCTAGTAGCCAGAATACACTTCTCGGCCTAGTATGCAAGGGTCGATTTGCCTAATAGGCCGAGTAATTTTCTTTATTTTCAATAAATTGTTTCCATTTATATATATATATATATATACATACAGTGGTACCTTGCATAACGATCGCCCCACAAGGCGAATATTTTGGGTAACGACTGGCCCGATCGGCGAGAAATCGTCCCATATGACGAACACTCATTTGTGTAACGTCAACACCACATGGTGGGGTCACGCCGCCACTGTCGACAGTGTTGTATTGGTGTCTCACACGACCAGTATCCGTCTGTATCGCTCCACACACAATTCTGATATTCGTGTTTTTTTTTTTTGTGGTTTTGTGATTACAATTCTGAACGCACGATGTCGTCCAAGAAGCAGCCTGCGAAAGCAGGAGTTTGCAAGGGGAAGAAAGAGGCAATCACTGTGGAAGTGAAGAAAGAGATCATAGCAAAGCACGAGCGTGGTATTCGTGTGGTTGATCTTGCCAGGGAGTATGGCAGGGCTCCCTCAACAATATCCACCATACTGAAGGGCAAGGATAAATATAAGACGCTTGACGTGGCCAAAGGAGTTAGCAAGCTCACCAGCAAACGTCCAAAACTCCTGGAAGATGTGGAACGGCTACTGCTGGTGTGGATGAATGAACGACAATTGCATGGCGATTGTGTCTCTGAAGCTATCGTTTGCGCTAAGGCTAGGATGCTGTATGTGGACCTTGTCAGGAAGATACCAGGTGCGTCGTCTGAAGATGAGGAGGTATTTAGGGCAAGCCGTGGCTGGTTTGAGAACTTTAAGAAAAGGAGTGGTATACACAGTGTTGTGCGACATGGGGAGGCTGCCAGCTCTGATAAAGGTGCTGCTGAGGCTTTTGTGCCAGAGTTCCAGAAATTTGTTGATCAGGAGCAGTTTCTGCCACAACAAGTTTTCAATTGTGACGAGACCGGCCTTTTTTGGAAAAAACTGACGAAGAGGACCTACATCACGCAAGAGGAACAATCATTGCCTGGCCACAAACCGATGAAGGATCGCCTTACTCTCGTGCTCTGCGCCAATGCAAGTGGCGATTGCAAGGTCAAGCCGCTGCTCGTCTATCACTCAGAAAATCCACGTGTGTTCAAGGCGTTTAAGGTTCACAAGACACGGCTGAATGTGATGTGGAGGTCGAACAAGAGGTCCTGGGTCACGCAGATCTTCTTTAGTGAGTGGGTAAATGACGTTTTCGGCCCCACAGTGAGAAATTATCTCGTCGACAAGCAGTTACCACTCAAGGCCTTGCTTGTGCTCGATAATGCACCTGCGCATCCTCGCCAACTGCAAGATGATCTGTTCCCTGAAAATCAGTTTATCACCATCAAGTTTCTTCCTCCAAACACCACGCCACTCCTCCAACCCATGGATCAGCAGGTCATTGCTAACTTTAAGAAGCTCTATATGAAGGCCTTGTTGGAGAGATGTGTTCATGTGATTGACACCACAGAGCTGACCCTCAGACAATTCTGGAAGGAGCAGTTCAATATCATGGGGGCCTTGCGTTTGATAGATAAGGCCTGGGAAGGGGTGTCACGGAGAACCCTACACTCTGCATGGCGAAACCTGTGGCCTGAGGGTGTCCCTGAGCGAGACTTCGAAGGTTTCGGTCCTGCACCTGCATCTGCATCCGCACCTGTGGATGACCCGGAGGCTCTTTTAGTGGATGATATTGTCGCTCTTGGACACACACTGGGTCTGGAGGTGGATGCCGCTGATGTGCAGGAGTTGGTGGAGGAGCACAGTGATGAACTGACCACCGAGGAACTCCTGGAACTGCAGAAAGAGCTGGTGCAACAGGAGGTACAGGAGCTCTCATCGGGGGAGGAGGAGGTCTGCGAGGATGCTATCCCATCTAGTGAGATCAGGGACGTGCTGGGCATGTTCGAAAAGGTGACAGCATTTGCGGAAAAGCATCACCCTGATAAGGCGGTGACAACACGGTGCGTGAACCTGTTTAATGACAATGTGCTGTCTCGATTTAGGGACATCCTCAAACGAAGACAACAGCAAGTGACACGCGATATGGTCAGTGGACAGGGTGGGAAGAGACGTGCTAGTGATATTGAACCACAACCCGGTCCTAGTGGGGTTAAATTCCCAAAGAGAGCGAGCCCGCCTGACCCAGAGGTGGTGTCACCCTCCTCCCCATAAGCCCTCTCCTCCCTCCCTCCCGATCGGCTCCCTCAAGCCAGCAACGACTCTTCATAAGGTAAAGTGAATATACACATGGAAACAGTCAAACAAACATTTATTTAACATGTACAGTATAATATTACCAGTGTATAATGTCATATTGTTGTTTTAGGGGGTGGAACGGATTATTTGTATTTACATTGTTTTGGGTGGGGAAAATTGTTTTGCATGACGCCGGTTTCACAAGACGACGGCGGCGTTGGAACGGATTAAATTCGTTATGCGAGGTACCACTGTATATATATATATATATATATATATATATGCATATATATATATATGCATATATATATATATATATATATATACACATATATATATATACATATATACCTACCTTGAGGCTACCTTGAGGTGCTTCCGGGGCTTAGTGTCCCCGCGGCCCGGTCGTCGACCAGGCCTCCTGGTTGCTGGACTGATCAACCGGGCTGTTAGACGCGGCTGCTCGCAGCCTGACGTATGAGTCACAGCCTGGTTGATCAGGTATCCTTTGGAGGTGCTTATCCAGTTCTCTCTTGAACACTGTGAGGGGTTTGCCAGTTATGCCCCTTATGTGTAGTGGAAGCGTGTTGAACAGTCTCGGGCCTCTGATGTTGATAGAGTTCTCAGAGTACCTGTTGCACCTCTGCTTTTCAACGGGGGTATTCTGCACATCCTGCCATGTCTTCTGGTCTCATGTGGTGTTATTTCTGTGTGCAGGTTTGGGACCAGCCCCTCAATTATTTTCCACGTGTAAATTATTATATATCTCTCCCGCCTGCGCTCAAGGGAGTACAGATTTAGGCTCTTTAGTCGGTCCCAGTAATTTAGATGTTTTACTGAGTGGATTCTAGCAGTAAAGGATCTCTGCACGCTCTCTAGGTCAGCAATTTCTCCAGCTTTGAAAGGGGCTGTCATTGTGCAGCAGTACTCCACTCTAGATAGCACAAGCGTTTTGAAAAGTATCATCATCGGTATAGCATCTCTAGTGTGAAAAGTTCTTGTTATCCAACCTGTCATTTTTCTTGCAGTTGTGACGGCTACTTTATTGTGTTCTTTAAAGGTAAGGTCTTCCGACATGAGTATACCCAGGTCCTTTACATTGCCTTTTCGTTCTATGTTATGATTTGCCTGTGTTTTGTACGTGGTTCCTGTTTTTATGTTTTCAATTTTTCCGTAGCGCATGAGCTGAAACTTATCCTCGTTGAATACCATATTATTTTCTGTAGCCCATAGAAAGACCTGATCAACATCTGATTGGAGGTTTGCCGTGTCCTCTATGTTGCCAACTCTCATGAAAATCCTAGTGTCATCTGCAAAGGATGATACAGTGATACAGATGATACAGTATATATCACTAAAAACTCTTTGACACGGCCAGGATTCGAACCCATGCCGTCCAGGATCACCCCTAAACGTACACAGTACCGTGACCACCGCACCGGTACTGTGTACGTTTAGGGGTGATCCTGGACGGCATGGGTTCGAATCCTGGCCGGGTCAAAGAGTTCTTAGTGATATATGGCTTGCGCGTTCATGCAGCTTTCTCATATATATATATATATATATATATATATATATATATATATATATATATATATATATATATATATATATATATATATATATATATATATATAGTATATTTTGGTAGCAGTCTTTCCTGTAGACATATACAGTATTATTAAATATGACCGAAAAAGTAAGATTAATAATTCTAACACGAATTTTCTCAATCTTTCGTACATTACGCTTCACTGTTGGAGGTAAATAAAAAATCACTTCTCCAAAATTCATTTTTATTTCTAGTCTGACGCGACACGGGCGCGTTTCGTAAAACTTATTACATTTTCAAAGACTTCACAAATACACAACTGATTAGAACTTTACGTATCTCTGAGTTTATATCTACATTTGAGTGAGGTGGGAAGGGTGATGTGGCATTAAAACAAGATGGGATATTAATAGGGTATTAAAAGTATCAACACAAGACAGAACAGAAACAATGGGTATTGAATAGAAGTGTTTGTAGAAAGCCTATTGGTCCATATTTCTTGATGCTTCTATATTGGAGTGGAGTCTTGAGGTGGGTAGAATATAGTTGTGCAATAATTGGCTGTTGATTGCTGGTGTTGACTTCTTGATGTGTAGTGCCTCGCAAACGTCAAGCCGCCTGCTATTGCTGTATCTATCGATGATTTCTGTGTTGTTTACTAGGATTTCTCTGGCGATGGTTTGGTTATGGGAAGAGATTATATGTTCCTTAATGGAGCCCTGTTGCTTATGCATCGTTAAACGCCTAGAAAGAGATGTTGTTGTCTTGCCTATATACTGGGTTTTTTGGAGCTTACAGTCCCCAAGTGGGCATTTGAAGGCATAGACGACGTTAGTCTCTTTTAAAGCGTTCTGTTTTGTGTCTGGAGAGTTTCTCATGAGTAGGCTGGCCGTTTTTCTGGTTTTATAGTAAATCGTCAGTTGTATCCTCTGATTTTTGTCTGTAGGGATAACGTTTCTATTAACAATATCTTTCAGGACCCTTTCCTCCGTTTTATGAGCTGTGGAAAAGAAGTTCCTGTAAAATAGTCTAATAGGGGGTATAGGTGTTGTTTTAGTTGTCTCTTCAGAGGTTGCATGGCTTTTCACTTTCCTTCTTATGATGTCTTCGATGAAACCATTGGAGAAGCCGTTATTGACTAGGACCTGCCTTACCCTACAGAGTTCTTCGTCGACTTGCTTCCATTCTGAGCTGTGGCTGAGAGCACGGTCGACGTATGCGTTAACAACACTCCTCTTGTACCTGTCAGGGCAGTCGCTGTTGGCATTTAGGCACATTCCTATGTTTGTTTCCTTAGTGTAGACTGCAGTGTGGAAACCTCCGCCCTTTTCCATGACTGTTACATCTAGAAAAGGCAGCTTCCCATCCTTTTCCGTCTCGTAAGTGAAACGCAGCACGGAACTCTGCTCAAATGCCTCCTTTAGCTCCTGCAGATGTCTGACATCAGGTACCTGTGTAAAAATGTCGTCAACATACCTGCAGTATATGGCCGGTTTCAAGTTCATGTCGACTAAGACTTTTTGCTCGATGGTACCCATGTAGAAGTTTGCAAACAGGACACCTAGGGGAGAACCCATGGCGACCCCATCTACTTGCTTATACATGTGCCCATCCGGGCTCAAGAAGGGTGCCTCTTTAGTACAAGCTTGGAGTAGTTTCCTCAGAATACTTTCTGGCATGTCAAGAGGAGTACAGGCTGGATCACGATACACTCTGTCGGCTATCATTCCGATTGTCTCGTCCACAGGTACGTTGGTAAACAGCGATTCTACGTCCAACGAGGCTCTTATCCCTGTGGCCCGTGTGCCCCGCAGTAAGTCCACAAATTCCTTTGGAGTCTTCAGGCTGAAGTTTATATATATATATATATATATATATATATATATATATATATATATATATATATATATATATATATATATATATATATATATATATAAGTACCAAATCTACACAGTAAAATAACAACGTACTGGAGTGATTGATATGGAAGAAAATGCAGAATAGAACCAGTGAAGAGCAGAGGTGCCATAGGCACAATCGGAGAATACTGTATAAACATCAGAGGTCCACAGTTGTTCAACACCCTCCCAACGAGCATAAGAAATATTGCCGGAACAACCGTGGACATCTTCAAGAGGAAACTAGATTTATTCCTCCAAGGAGTGCCGAACCAACCGGGCTGTGGTGGGTATATGGGCCTGTGGGCCGCTCCAAGCAACAGCTTAGTGGACTAAACTCTCAAGTCAAGCCTGGCCTCTGGCCGGGCTTGGGGAGTAGAAAAACTCCCAGAACTCCATCAACCAGGTATCAACCAGATGTGTGTGTGTGTATTATATATATATATATATATATATATATATATATATATATATATATATATATATATATATATATATATATATATATATTATATTATATATTATATTATATTATACACACACACACACACACACACAGTGGCACCTCGACTTACGATTGCCCCTACTTACGATATTTTCGAGTTACAGTGGTACCTCGGAATGCGATTGTCCCTGTATGCGAGGTTTTCGGAAGGCGAGGTGTATTTACTCCAAAAATTTGTCTCAGAAGGCGAGGGTTACTTCGGGAGGCGAGTTTGGACGCGAGTTTGTTGATACGCGTACAGCCGACCTAGCGCGTTCGTCGCCCCTCCGCCCCGCCGCCCCTCAGTTTATTATTGTCTGGCGCTCAGTGACTACCCCCACATCAATTCTTCTCGCGGATTTTCAGTGTTTTGTTGGATTTTTGGTGATTTGTCTATACAATTTGTTATTATATATCTCACCATGGGTCCCAAGAAAGCCAGTGGTAAGGATAAAGGCCAGAAAGCTCCTGTGAGGATGACAATAGAGGAGAAACAAGAGATCATTCGGAAGCATGAGAACGGTACACGTGTTGTTGAACTTTGTAGGCAGTACAACAAAGCCACATCAACAATATGCACTATACTTAAGAAGAAAAATAAGATTATGGGTGCTAAAGTGGCAAAAGGAGTAAGAACATTAACGGCACAAAGACCACAAATACTTGAAGAAGTGGAAAAGTTGTTATTAATTTGGATACACGACAAGGAGTTGAGGGGTGATAGTGTTTCGGAGGCCATTATTTGTGAGAAAGCCAGGGTGTTGCACGAAGACCTTCTAAAGAATACCCCTGCAACGAGTGATGCAGATAAGAAAGAGTTTAAGGCAAGCAGGGGCTGGTTTGAAAAATTTAGAAAGAGAAGTGGTATCCATAGTGTTACAAGGCATGGGGTTATGTGATGTGATTATGGAAGGGGACTCCCCTTCCAAACAGTAACTCCTCTCCTCCTCACCATCTTCCATACGCCTACAGCACTCGACAGTAAGGTAAGTAATAACTGGAACACAGTTTTGTAGGTTTATTTAGATGAATTAGGTAAATTAGGTATAAAAATTTAGTTTGATGTGGGGTTTTTGGGGTAGTCAGGAACGGATTAATTCATTTCCCTTTATTTCTTATGGGGAAATTAACTTCGGAATGCGAGTTTTCGGAAGGCGAGGCGTCTCCAGGAACGGATTAAACTCTTATTCTGAGGTATGCCTGTACAATGTAAATTTCATCAAAAAATGCGACTCGACATCTGATGGTGTCATCGACTTACGATATTTGTTGGTACACGTTTGGGTCGACCGAGCACGTGGTTCCCGGTCACGCGGCCGACCTGCCTCAGTTTACTACAGCTGCTCGCTTAGTTACGATCGCGCCTATAAGAAATTTCACTTTTGTGGTGATTTTTTGCATTTTGAACAATAAAGTAATTATTATATATCACGCCATGAGTCCCAGGAAAGTCAGTGGTAAGGCTCAACATATGAGATCCCATGTAAGGATGACCATAGAGCAGAAACAAGAGATCATTCGTAAATATAAAGATGGTGTGTGGGTTGTTGGACTGGCTACGTAGTACAACAAATCTCAGTCAACGATATCCACCATACTGGCTAAGATAAAGGACATTATGGGTGCTAAAGTGATGCATCATTACAGACAAATGTTAAAACGAAGGGGATAAACAAATGGATCTTGACAAATTTGCTGTGAGACAAACAATCACTGAACCACAACCAGGTCCTAGTGGTATTCAGGCAAAATGTAGGAAAGAGAGTAACCCAGAGAAAACATCACTGCCTGATGTGATAATGGAAGGGGACTCCCCTTCCAAACAGTAAAAACTCTCCTCCTTCCCCCCTCATCACCATCTTCCATATGCCATCAAGAGCCCTCCATAAAGGTAAGATAAAATTAGGTACTGTATTGTATCTCATCTTGAGGTTATCTTGAGTTGATTTCGGGGCTTTGTTTTTAGTGTCCCCGCGGCCAGGTCCTTGACCAGGCCTCCACCCCCAGGAAGCAGCCCGTGACAGCTGACTAACACCCAGGTACCTATTTACTGCTAGGTAACAGGGGCATAGGATGAAAGAAACTCTGCCCATCGTTTCTCGCTGGCGCCCGGGATCGAACCCGGGACCACAGGATCACAAGTCCAGTGTGCTGTCCGCTCGGCCGACCAGCTCCCCGGCCGGCTGTAGTTAGAAAAAACATTGTATTCAGTATAAAATGTATTTGTATGTTAATATTTTGGAGGGTGGTTATCTTGAGGTTATCTTGAGATGATTTCGGGGCTTTAGTGTCCCCGCGGCCCGGTCCTCGACCAGGCCTCCACCCCCAGGAAGCAGCCCGTGACAGCTGACTAACACCCAGGTACCTATTTTACTGCTAGGTAACAGGGGCATAGGGTGAAAGAAACTCTGCCCATTGTTTCTCGCCGGCGCCTCGGATCGAACCCAGGACCACAAATCCAGCGTGCTGTCCACTCGGCTGACTGGCTGTTGCTGGTACTATAGATTTTTTTATTGTTTCAGTTGCCATATACCTGTGATTTGTACCAGCCACTTCAAGTTACAACCACAGGAGACAAGAAAAAAATCAGTAAATGGAAATTAATGAATGAATCAAAACAAGAGATATTTCTATGAAATGATACCAGAATGGACACTACATGCAACACTGATATATTATTAATTTAAATAATTATAATTATACAGGGTGGGCCAAAAGTTACCATTCAAGCTGTGACTAGAAAGGAGATGAGAGATATACCAAATAATATACACATGGAAAATACTGGAAGGCCAGGTCCCTAATCTACACAGTAAAATAACAACATACTGGAGTGAACGATATTGTTAGAAAATACAGAATAGAACCAGTGAAGAGCAGAGGTGCCATAGGCACAATCAGAGAACACTGTATAAACATCAGAGGTCCACGGCTGTTCAATGTCCTCCCAGCGACTATAAGAAATACTGCCGGAACAACAGTGGACATCTTCAAGAGAAAACTAGAGTGTTTTCTAAAAGACGTTCCAGACCAACCGGGCTGTGGTGGGTATGTGGGCCTGCGGGCCGCTCCAAGCAACAGTCTGGTGGACCAAACTCTCACCAGTCAAGCCTGGCCTTGGGGAGTAGAACAACTCCCAGAACCCCATCAACCAGGTATCAACTAGGACTCTCACACCAGGCTGCAAGCAGCCGAGTCCAAAAGCCCGGTTGACCAGACCATCAACCGGGAGACCTGATCAGACCCCGATCCACGGGGACCTTGATCCCTGTAAACACTGCAAGGTAACCTATATTATTTTATTAACACTCATATGTAGAAAATAAAAACATTAATGAAAATATATGCATTAAATATTAAAACTGAAATGCATTTTTATTATTTGTTATTTTTTTTATTTTAATTTTAACATATGATTGTGTTAATCATTTAGTATTATGGTCAAGTTCCTTTTGGGTCACCCTGTATTAATATAAATTGCAGTTTATAGAAAACACTACATGGTAAGAGTCGAGGTACTCAGGTACCGACATCTAAATAGCAAGACTTTTCATCATTTACACTGGCATTTCACCACTACAGAATAACAATGCACATTATAATCTATATTATACCTCCATTCGTTTCAGAGGTAAGGCAACATTACTTGAATAAAATACCAAGTTCACAGATGTTTGCCACCCCGAGTGTCCAAACTCCAGCACCAGTACACCAATGTGGCTATTTTCTTGGAAACATCCAAGTGTTAAGATCTGTTATTGCTGGACATATAGAAGAATAGATATGTGGGGGCTGCAGGCTGCTCCAAGCAACAGTCTGTTGGACCTGTTGGAGCTCTCACATCGAGGCCTGGCTTGGGGAGAAGAACAACTCCCAGAACCCCATCAAGCATATATCAAAAAGGTCAGAATATGGTAGCAAGACGTGTGTATGTTATGTGTTGGTGGCATTTTCAACTGATTTGGAGATACCATTGCTGTACAAAATTTAATTTTGGCATTTACCCCTGAATCATTCAATAGTTTAAGGAGCGCAAAATCACTAAGAAACAAAAAGAGCAAATTTCAAATAATTCACTGCATAAATTTTACTATAATATTTTTTTAACCCAAGAACCACACACACAATCATGGAAAACTGAACATTATAATATAAATGTAATAAAATGGTTTCAAATATGTATTTAGATCACCCAGTGCTGTATAATCAGAAGTTTCTTCCATTTCATGATATTGTTTTATAAAATGGTGGGTATACTATAAGTTTTTGTTGGCATCAGAGTTTGATTACCATCAACCAGCCAGGTACAGATGTCCCATCATATGTAGTGCACATTTTACTATGCTGCAAAAAACTTATTTACTGTGTTCTATCAACCTTATCGTTCTCAAAGAATTAGGCTCAACTTTACTGTGCAAATTAAAATTCTTTTTAATATACTGTACAGAATATATATTTTTGAGAGATGACATTGTAGTGTCTTCAAGATTGCAACGCACACCAGTTGACTAACTCTTGGGAAGCCTGCTTATTTACTGATAATTAAACAGAAGCACTGAATGTAAGTATAGATGTCTAAACCTCTCTTCTTGTCCAGAAGAGTCCAATTAGTTCTGTGCTGACTATACAAATATAAAATGACATCTTATGGAATGCTGTAATTTAGATACTGGTCAACAGGGTGTAGTGCTACTTTGATAAGGAACAATGCAGACTGCTGTTAAAAATAATTACACTAGTGCAATATCTGCATTTGGCACAAAAATAATTAAGCCCAAGATATGGCCTGTAACTGAAATAGCATCACTTACATGATAGGGTATCTGATTTTGGGTTCTGTATACCATTTAAATTCTTTACTGGCATAATAACTGGTGGGTGATCACATTGACAGCATTTTGATAATGAAACTTCGATGAGCTCCCAAACAGACTCTTGTCCTGGACAATGTGGAACCATTGCCTAATCTACTTTAATACTGTACATTAGCCCCCCCTCCCCCATCCCCCCCCACACACACACAAAAAAATAAACCGTGTTGATTTAAAGTAGTGAAATATTTGACATTATGAACACCAACTTCTGAATGTATACAACTTCATGTATTATAATCCGTATGTGCTAGGAATAACCTACGTCGTCTCTTGCATCACATTTTAATGTGCCAATGAATATTCTCCCAGTTACCCAGCTTTGGCCTTTCAATATTCTGGCCCCAAACCATTGTGAAACACTTATTTTACTTAAAAGTTCATCAGTCATAAATACTAGTCCATCACCCAGGACAGAAATGAGAAACAGTGGACCAGCCGAAGGCTTAGGGCCCATGCAGGAATATCCCAGATAAAAGGTACTTAATTATCTTCATTGAGTTCATTCTCAAGTTGTAATCGGGAATGCGAGGTTTGGATCTCAGGCGGGAGGGAATTGAAATTCTGGAAGAGTATTGGGTTTGTGAGTGAGGGGGATGGAAAGTTCGGTGGCCTGTCCACCTTGGGTGGGCATGAGGTAATGTAAGGTAATTATCAAAAGAAGGCACCAAACCGGGAAGGCTATGTAGCACCATCAAAGTGCGAAATAATCAGAGGGCGCTAAATATCACGGGTGGGCATGAGGTGAGGGTCGTTTGTTTGGTTTGGGTGTGTGTGGTGTAGGGTTGTCAGCGCATTGGCTGCATTGGCTAGTATGGGCGTTTGAGTTTCTATGAGCCGGTGGTGGTGGCTTCAGGAGGCTGATTTTAGCAACATGAGGCTAGTTTTACTGCTTGCAGAACAAAATAATTTTGTTTTTTTTGTTATATTCTTTTTTTATTGAGTTTTGTTTTTGTATTTATATACTAAATATATATTTATTTTGTTTAGATAATTAATGGCATTAAAAATACATAAGTACTGTACCTACTGAGTAATCACTGTAATCTGATCCTTTGTATTTTTAATATAGAAAATATTATAGTATTTTAATTATGACAACTATTGGAGGGTTTTATTAACAATTTTACATGGCAAGTATTTGTATATTTTATAAAGTCACTACTGACACACACTGCTGGAGACAAGTGAGACATTCACCTCACGTCAACTTTAGAGTGATGAAGGTGACAACACTGCCACTATACAGCCTCTGCCACCACCATTATATAAACAATTACCATTAATGGCTGTTACACTATTGTTAACCGCCTACCAAAAGCGATAACGGCAGGAAAGGCAGAGAACACTCCATGGAGTGCGTTATGGGGGAGAAGGGAGCATGTGGAAGGCAGGTGTGGGAGGGAGGCGTGGAGCTGGCCCCCCACAGGTGTGGAGGTCAGGTGTGGCCGCCACAACACACCAACAAGAGGAGCGTGGTGCTCTACACGGGTAAAATCCCGCAGTCACTCCGGGCCACTCACCGAGCCTCACCACTCATACCACACTCATTCCTCGCCCCCACGGCCACCTCACCCTCATTCACACACCCCACTGCCTTCAGAGCCCCGGGGGTGGTGGAAGGTAGGGTGGCAGGGGTAGTGGACACACAGGGGGTAACAAGGGGGGACGGTGACCCCGGGGGCACGCTGTGTCCGGGGCCCTCAACCACCCTCTGATGACGCTCTAGCAGACGAAATCTTTCAAACCTCATTGTTGCCTGTATGTCAGGTCGTATCACCGGCAATGTGACGGTGCGGGGAGGAACAGTGGTCACTTGTTTACTACTTACCAGTTGCAGGACTGTGTTGACAACCTCCTTGTTAGAAACTTGCCCAACTTCAATGAGCCCTATCAACACGGCAAACTTCAAGTTATCCGCCATGGCCACTTTAACCACATCCTCTGGCCGTTTGACATCTTCAATCGGCGGTTCAGTTGGCTCCGCCATTTTCACTGAACTTTATACACACTGTGATGACACTGGTAACACTTTAAGATTCACCATTCACTGAATATCACCACGCTACACAGGACAAACGTCAATGACGACTGCGGACAGACGCCATGTTTGACAGATACTGATTCACAAATGAATGAAATATTTTAATTCGATCTTGGTTTTATTGTTTTCAGCTTTTCATTTCAGTAATATAGAAAGCAGTGAAAAACCTATTTTACATGTTTATATCAAGCTCTTTTAAAACTATATTGTAATTCGGTGAAAAATTTATTTCAGTAATAAAAGTAAACAAACGGTTCATTGAACGTTTCATATCAACCCACCATTAATATTTAAAATATATACATTTATATGTAAGTTATATACGAACGTTATTATATAACCAATGACATATTAACTTTTCGTTGATACACGAACGTTTGTTATGACGCTGAAAAAGACGCGGGAAAGACGACGATTTTTAAGTGTACACGACTCTAATTTCATAGGAATATTTAACTTAATGATAAACTGCGTTTATCTCGTATTAAATTAAGTACCGAGACATTCAAAAACATTTAAAATACAAAATACTGCAGCATTGCCAAAGCATTTTTTTACGAATAGTTTATCGATCGGGCAACGACTGGCGGTTGTCGGCCAGATTTAAATAATTGATGCTGGAATGTGTAAATGATAAGGAAAAATGATAAAGCTATCACAAAATATAATGTGTATTTGAAGCGGAAGGAGCTCCATGTACAGTTATAATACTTCTACCTTACATATGGTGGTTGAGAGCATTGAAGAATTCTATTCGATGCCGACGTATCGACCAGACTTGACAGTTTTTGTTTTAGATTCAGCTGCTGGGAACCAACAGTTGCAAGTAGCATGGGCTATGGTTGACGTAGAGAACTGTGCGGCTTGTAGCCTTGTATAATCATAGTTGAACGGTAACGGACATTTGATAACTTTTATCGTGAATAATTTAACTCCCATAGTGGTATATTTAAAAACAAATAACGTTATTATTATTCTCATTATTATTATTAATTACTTATTTTTATTTATTATTATTATTCATTTATATTAATTATTATTATTAGTAATTTATATTTGTTGCGATTGTATAATACGCGAGCAAATTAATGTTTATTTTTAAAGTTCGTATATAAGTTCGGTATACAATATATTGTTATTGCATAGGAAAGATATTGTGCATTAAAGAGGGTATGCGAAGGCTCAAACTCCGGTTCCTCTCCATCAAATCATTAACGAATTCATATTACCCAAACATGATGATACAGACAGAACACTTGAATTATAAGCTGCATATATAACAAGCATATGAAGCAGAACATTCTCTATTGTCACTCATATACTCAAACATAGGTAGGAAACACTGTATAGAGCAGTAGCCTACGCCATTTTTTTATGTATTTATTTATATACAAGAAGGTACATTGGGTGTGAGAGAGTAGAGTACATAGCATTGGTGTTCTTACATTCTTACAAAGTCACTAACACGCATACATAACGTTTCGGGCAGGTCCTTATCTAACCAATTAACAATTTATCAATTATTAATCCTTAAGGTAAGATTATTAATTGGTAAATTGCAGCAAAATTTGAGTTCAAGATAACTACAATATAAATGGATGGAAATTATTACACTGGTGAAGTTGCATATCTTAAGTACTGATATTGGGGAGTGGACAGTGCAAGATACAGTGAGAGTATGAAGCACAAGGTAGGAAACTATGTTAGTTTAGTTAGTTTATTTATTATGCACCCCATACCCATCCTGTGGGCGGTAATGGAAAGGGTTACAGTGGCACAATAATGGGCTCAGGGACTGAACCCCACAATTCATTTAGCTAAGCAAGTTACAATCTTTATGAACTTTATACAAAATTCAATGCACAT